TACGTTAAGGGGAAAAATCTTTCACCTGTGTTGGTCAGTCTAATCAACTAGAATTTTCTTTAATCTGCCAATCCATATGATGTAACATGGCTCAAAATTAATCATGACCCTTTTTCAACCAAAGGGTCCACTTCATCCCTGACTGTGTCAAGTCCTAGAACATACACTGATTTTACCAGTCATGTAATGTTAGATCAGAAATCTCACTGTCTTAGCCCTCTCAAGCTACCTCTGCTTCTAAGAGGCTCCATGCCCTTGAAGTCAGGACTCCCAAGCATCAGGTTTCCATTCGGACCTTTATAACCAAGAGTCTGGACCATCCTTAGCCTTGACTTCATTCCTGCTTCACTGGGAGGGAAGAAGGGAGAGGGGAGAAAAGGGAACAGAATAAAGGGTAGAAAAAGCCCAAGTTTGGGTTTGAATATGGATGGACAAGGCAGAAAAGCTTAGGGCCAAAGAGAAGTAAAAGAGAACAAAAGTGAAATAAAAGAGACGGGGAATTAAAGGAACGGTCCTTTTTAAACAGAAAAGGCAGTCGTTGCCTAAACATGTGCCATAAAATAATAATGATGTGCTACATTACTAGCCTACACACTCAGCTTGCTACCTCCTCCTAGCCATGCCCCTTCATGTTCATGGGGGAAATAGTAACAAAAGGATTGCACCATTCTAGTGGCCCCAGGGGACGCCCACATCTCTGGGGCTACCTTCAGAGATGATCCAAGGACCCATGGTTGTCAAGAGGCATTTTATAATGGTCTAACAGCTAACACTGAGTGATTACTAGATCCTAGCAATGCTAAGCCCATTACATGATTATCTCACTGATCCTCACAACAAGCCTATGAGCTAAATGTTATTAATATCTTTATTTTAGAAACCTAGAAATGATCAATCCAAGAAATGATTAAACATTTCTGTGCATAGAATCTATCCTTGACAAAATTATGCACAGATGAGGGCAGATAGGGAAGGAAAATACTGTTTTTTTAACACCTATAATATGCCAGACACCTTACCTCATTCATGGCTAACCAAATCTTACAAGGTACGTACAGAGTACAAGGTGATGGAAACATGAAATTGAAACAGATTTTTAACCTATCCTGGACATTCTGAATCAAAAGCCCAGGGTCTTACTTCCAGAGGATTCCAAATAATTGGGACATTGAAGGGTCCTCTAGGGTTAGTGTGAGGATAGACCCAGCCTCTTAGGGAAGTCACTTTCACTTCCAAGCTAGCCAGCCTCTATGGACTGGGTGATAATGGTGTTAGAGGGACCCAGGGGGATCCCGAGACTGGACAGCTTATTCCAGTAAACTTCACCATTGGCAAAGGCCCTTCACCCAAAACCAATAAACACTTCACACATGCCAGGCTTTGTGTGAGGCATCAGAATCACAAAAATGAAATCCATTCTCTGCACTCAAGGAGTTGACAGTCTAATGGGAAGGCATATCCTGGAAAAACATACTCTTGGGCATGAGCATAAACACATAAGCTCAGTCACGGTTGACTGCCACTATGTGCGAAGCACTGTGTCACACTTCACCAAGCTTGTGTTTTCACAGAGCAAACCTAACCCATTTTAATATATAGTTATTTCTAGCTCCTTGGGATTATCAAATTATTTGAAGATGAAGATTTGAAGATGGAGGCTTTAACACAAGTTATATAGTTCAAGAGCTGTCAAGAAGGTAGTCATCCAAAAAGCTGCACATTTTCCAACTAGTCTATCTTTATATCTGCCCCTCCCAAGGTCATTTGAACATCTGCTAAACACCTATTAGGCATCAGGTAAATTTCTGTTGAATGAATGACCATACTATTTGAAAGGAATTACATAAACTCAAATACAAAATCAAGAAGCAATGACAGTTTTGTCACTACCCTGATTTCAGAAAGTGAGACTGGCCAAGATTAACACATTGGACTAATGGATGACAGGCAACAGTCACAAAACATATTCCACTACTTCCCACCATCAGTGAAGAAATTTGTACAGCACTAAGGAGAAGGCTCATTTGATAGCTCCACCTTGGATGACCTGGAATGATGGGAGCAAACCCTCATCTCGGGTACTATGATGAGAGACTCACTGTTTGCATGCCTTCTGGTAGACTGTACAGCAGCCAGGGAGTAAGTTCCCCACTACATTTGTGGGTATATGCATTGACATGGGTTTCCTCATTCCATTGTAGGGAAAAAAATACAAGCCCCTTCTTTGAGTAGGAGAAAAGGAATATAAGAGTCTCTCTCTACATATATGGAACAAATCACTTAAATAAGAATGCTTTATTGGGGAGCCTTGGTGGCTCAGTTGGTTAAGCAGCTGCCTTTAACTCAGGTCATGATGCCAGGGGCCTGGGATCAAGCCCCAAAACAAGCTCCCCGCTCAGCGGAAGTCTGCTTCTCCCTTTACCCCTCCCCCAGCTCGTACTCCCTCTCCCTTTCTCTCTCTCTCTCAAATAAATAAAGGCCAAAATTCAGTTGCAAGGCAGGCACTGTTGGGTGCCACTGTTGGGTGGTGTACCATCAATCACATTTTGTGTGGCAAGTACAAAAAAAGAAAGAATGCTTTATATATTCTTTGTGCTGGCAAGAAAAATAAAGAATACAGAATGTTTACTTCTCGAGAAGCTAAAAAAACCTGTTTGCTGATTAATGAAATTGAGGTAAAAGCATCAAATATGATTAGATTTACTATTAAGTCCTCCTCATAAGTGATACATCTCTCTTCTGTTTTCCTAGTTTTGAATCTGAAGAGACAATGATTCTTGCTAAATTGTTTTACTCATGGAGCCCATCCTAACCCATCTAAAATGGGATCATCTATGATTCTATAGATATCAAGGTTTGTGAAACTGGTTTTATGCAATCATGGGCAGTCATAAAACAGAGTAGGTGATGCTATTAGGCCAGAAACTGTACCTGTTGTTAATCTCCTCAGATGGGGAATTAGCTGAAATTGAACTTGAGATCTCGTTCTTTCCTGACTTAAACTGAATCCTTTGTTTCAACAACAAAAACATTCAATAAGCTGAATCAAATAAAAGGGTTTTCAAAAGTCCACAAACTTGAAACACTATATATAGTCTTGTGCTTTTACAAAACCGTATTCCTCAGGGTTCCTGAGGTTGGTCATAAAGAATTCTCACGTAGGATATAAGCTGGGGTTGCGTTGCTTCTTCTGCAAATGTGGGGCGGACAGTTTCCAATTTATTTCCACCAATAATAACTGATTACCATGTATTTAGACCTTGTTATATTGTAAGTGCTAGCTGCTTTGCAAACATTTATTTAATCCTGACAGAAACCCCGTGAGGCAGCCATAATCTCTGCTTTACACATGAGGGGGCAGGTCCAGAGTGGCTCCTGCCACACATAACATGACTGATGATGGGGCACAACCCCAACAGCCCCTGCCTTGCAACTGAATTTCAGCCTCGATAGCAAATGCCCAAATTTAATTATCCAACATTAATCAAACTCTTAGTTGTCTGTGGTAAAAAAATACCATAAACATTGTCCCCAGATATTACAGTTGAAGACCATTTGAACGACCCTACCGAACATACGAAGGCAAAAAGATGGTTAGGTGAGGGTCACATAAAAGCCAATGACACCCTATTATGTTCTCCCCTTTCTTGAGAGCAGAAAATCACCCCAAATATTTTGTAAGTCTTTTGTTAAATTTTGGTTTATTTTTTAACCTCATAACAATATGAAACAGCTTAATTGCCTAACCAGTATCAGGCAATGATGAAGTACATGAAGAAAGAAATATTCCCCATGCACTTCGGTTACCTACCAGCTACAGCCCTTTGCAGCAGCTCTAATTGGCCCTTTCTGGCTCTACATTCCTAATTTGTATGTCTACACGGTCTTCTGAAAATATATTTTGAATCCAAAAATGAGACCAGAAATCCTAAGCAATTCAGGAGTCTTGACCTTCCTACACATCTACTCCCTGCACTGGCAGGAAAAAAATCGGAGCTAGGAGTATATGAAATAACTTAATACTTCACAAAGCATCCTTCCCATTGGACAGAAAAACAGGGAGGATCCACACACCTTGTAAGTCAGTCAGGAGGCAAAAAAAATCCTGTTAAGACTGGAACTAAGGAGTCTCCATCTCCGATGGCCAACTGTCCCTGGACACTGGCTCAGATTCAGGGAGTTAATTATTAAAAAAAGAAAAAGAACCTAGGATCTGATCTGTCTAGGAGCTGTGCAATGAGAAAACTGAGGGGGAAAGACTACTGGTCAGAATTTTTTAAACAGAATTCAAGAATTCTACCTCTTAATCTGGCTTTGCCCAAGACAATGGGATCATATCACCAGATTACCAACATAGCTGAATTTAAGACATACAAGCATTAGAATGGCCAATCTCTAGACTGGGTGCCTCTATCCTATTTCTACTCTATGTTACAATTCTTCTTGGAGAGCAGACACCTCACAGTACATTTCCTACAGTCTTATAGGAAATCTTTATGAGTCTGTCAAGAATAATAATCTTGAAAGAACTTTCTATGATATCCCATACAGCAGGCACCAGTCACGTGTAGCTACTGAGTGCTTGGCAAGTGCTTAAAGCAACTAAGGAACCAGGCTTTAAGTTTCATTTCATCTCAATACAAATTTATTTAAATAGCCACATGTGGCTACTGTATTAGAAAATAGTCCTAAATACTACGAAAGTTAATTTTCAGCAAATAAAAATGCATTTTTAAAAACTGAGCTTTTTCTTTCTTAACAGCTACCAAAACAGCCAGGAAATCACATTATTTGTTCAAAAAGAATCTTTCTCTGGATAAATCCGTGAGGCCAGGAATGACTTATTGCCACCCAGTCAGGAAAGAGGAAATAGGCACATTCGATGGCTAGCTCAGCTTCAAGCTCTCAGGTGTTCTTATTCCCAGCACTTCTCTTTCTGTTTGCCTCTGAAGCTATTCCAATCTTACCTTAATCAAAAAAAAAAAAAAAAAAAAAAAAAAACACATTTCTTCTCCATCATTGGCAGCATCTCACTGGGCAGAGGGAATGAGCTGGGGATCAGGACCTTCCTATCATCTAACCTGGAAGGTTGACTTTTTCCAGACATAATGGCAGACACACCAAAGAAAACTTTGTAGCCACCCCATCATTGTAATGACCCAGCAAGAAAAAGAAAAAAAATTGAAAAATAAACAGCCTTTGAAACTCAAGAGGAAGATGGACTTGGGACCGAAAAGGAAGAGAGGAGGGCCATTTCCCCTGGATAGTTTTTCCAAGTCCACCCATGAGGAAAATCTTCAACTTCAGGAGACTGGAAAGACTTTTCTACGTGAATTTTCCGGTGCTGACTGAGATAGGCACTTCTGCTGAAGCATTTCTCACAGTCAGTGCATTTGTAAGGTTTTTCTCCCACATGAGTCCGCCGGTGCCTGATAAGATTAAAGCTCTGACTGAAGCCCTCGCCACAGTCGGGACACTTATAAGGTCTCTCGCCTGTGTGCGTCCTTTGGTGAATCACCAGCGTGGAACTCTGACTGAAAGTTTTCCAACACTCTGAACACCGGTAAGGTTTTTCTCCCGTATGTGTTCTCTGATGTCTAATGAGATGAGAGCTGAGACCAAAACGCTTTCCGCATTCACAACATTTGTACGGTTTCTCCCCTGGCTGGAGTCTGCATTCCTCTATCACACCGCAGTTCTGACTCAAGCTCTCCTCGTATTCGGAACTTTCATAGGGCTTTTCGCCTGTGTGGGTTTTCCGGTGTGTAATTAGGTTTGAACTTCGACTGAAACTCTTCCCGCATTCTGTACACTGATAGGGTTTTTCTCCCGTATGAATTCTCTGATGCTTTATTAGGGTCGAATTACAACCAAAGTTTTTTCCACACTCGAGACATTTGTAGGGCTTCTCACCTGTGTGTGTCCGCTGGTGGCGAATCAGGCTGGAACTCTGACTAAAACTCTTTCCACAGTCAGGGCACTTATAAGGCTTTTCTCCAGTGTGAATCCTCTGGTGCTCTATTAGGACGTAACTGTGGCTGAAGCATTTCCCACAAACAGGACATTCGTATGGCTTTTCACCGGTATGTGATCTGTGGTGCTGAACCAGGTGGGAGCTGCTACTAAAGCTCTTCCCACACTCGGGACACTTATAGGGTTTCTCTCCTGTGTGAGTCCTCTCATGGATGATGAGATGGGAGGTGTTGCTGAAGCTTTTCCCACATTCACCACACCGGTGGGGCTTCTCTCCCGTGTGCGTTCTCAGATGTTGAGTCAGGTGAGAGCTGTTACTGAAGCATTTCCCACACTCCGAGCATTTGTAAGGTTTTTCTCCTGAGTGGGTTCTCTGGTGAATACGCAGATGCGAGCTGTTATTGAAGCTTTTCCAACATTCAGGACATTTGTAGGGTTTGTCTCTGAAGGTTGAATTCTGCTGGACAGAGCCACTGCACTGGTCCCCTGGGTCCCCATTCCAGTGATTGGGTTTTTCATCTTTTCCTGCGGAATTTCCCTGATTCTCGGACTTGCCACCATTCTCATAGGACTCATTACACCAGATCTCACCTCCTGGGGACCATGTCAATGAAATTTCTTTTGTATCCTCATGCTTACAATTTTGCAGGCCATCTCTTTTAGACCACTTTGAGGCGCTCTCTTTCTCTGCCTTGGAGTGATTGTGTTGAGCAGTTTCCAAATTATTCTTTCTTTCATGTCCTGTAAGAATAAACAAATGTTCTAAATACATTCCCTAATCTCTGCTGGGGGGGAGGAAATTCTGAGTTGCAGTGAAAGGGAGGGAATAACAGAGTAAAACCTCATAAACTCTTTTATATTAAAAAAAAGTTTAAAACTGGTTTTATTTTTTTTTTAAAAGATTTTATTTATTCATTTGACAGAGAGAGAGATCACAAGCAGGCAGGGAGGCAGGCAGAGAGAGAGAGGAGGAAACAGGCCCTCCGCGGAGCAGAGAGCCCGATGCGGGGCTCGATCCCAGGACCCCGGGATCATGACCTGAGCCGAAGGCAGAGGCTTTAACCCACTGAGCCACCCAGGCGCCCCTGGTTTTATTTTTTTATACTCTAAGTGTTCAGGAGAAGCAAGTAAATTTTTTGTGCTTGGTAACAACACTAATGAAGTATTTGAACATTACCAAGGGGGGGGGCGCTTACTGATCTAAAAACTTCATTAAACCTTATTCTAGAAGACCTAAAAGAAAAAAGGGGATCTGAGTAGGGGAGAAACTGAATAAGACACATTCTAAAGGGAAAACTTGATGATAATTTAGTTAAAATCTGAGAAAATACAGAAATAACAATGATACCTATTATTTATTAAGAACAATAGCTTGGCATGTAGTATCTTGTTAATCCTAAAAAATATGAGACAGATATTCATTTTTCTCTAAAGATGAAAAAACTGAGGTTGTAAAAGTTAACATGGTTTGTAGGCAACTGAGCAGAAATCAAAGTTGGTCCGATTCAAATGCTCTGTTCTTTCCACACAGTCTATAGCACTCCATGGCACATCTTACATTGAATTTCCAATGGATTCAGATCAACTTCTTGATCTCTCACCTGTAAAAGGGCTTTTCAAATTCTCCCTCTCCTTGAAGCCACTAGAGTCTGAGACCAACAGTTTTTGCTCTTGCTCCATCAGTGGTCACACCAGGGTAGGGATCAGAAATCCTGTGGAAGGAAACAGGTTATGCTTGCAGGCATCAGCTAAAATGTATTCTTTTTCTTTCCTTCCCAACCATTGCAGCATAACCACAGGAGGCACAGAGTGCCCCAGGCTGAAAAAAAGAAACATGGTCTTTTGAAATCTTTTTGGGGGGGAAAAAAAAAATCTTATCTCAGACACAAGTGTTTCAAATTAAGGTTAACCCAATTTACTTTTTCTAAGGAAATGCCAATAAAATTAAATCCTCACATTAAAGTCTGAGGATCAAGCTTCAAAAACAGAAGGAATACTAATATTCATTGTCCACTCAGAGTTTAGATAGTTTTAATTGAAAACATGAAGGGTTTTTTGGAAACAGTAACAATAGCAGGACTTCAAAAAAAATGGATATGCAGGTTTAAGAAGCTTGTTCAGAAAGAAAAGCTGGCCCTTGACAGAAAAATGAAACATTTGAAGTTCAATTTCAAAATGAAGTTAGAATTTATATCAGAAAAAAAAAAGAAAAAAAGAAAAAGAAAAAATAGGACAAAGCAGGGCCAGAATAATTATAGCCCATAACCCCTAAAATAAAAAGGAAGGTAATAAGAGAACTCTTCCTTGCCTCTGACTTTCTCAATCTATCATAATCACAATATTCCTTTTAGCCTAAACTTTATCTTCTGGAGTCAACTAGGATTCTTGACCTACTTTAAGGTACTGATCTATCACTGGAAGGCAGGTATATATGGGCTTACAATCCATTTCAGGATATAGAGAACAGCATTATTTGGGGAAAACAAGAGCCTAAAATAAGGATGTACAAAGGCACACGTGGAAAACAGAACAAAACAAAAAATCGTTTGGGGGAATATAAAAAAGGTGTAATTTTAACTTAATCACTGCCTATGATGTGCCAGGAAGTAAGCTAAATACTTTACTCATTTAAATTTCATAATAGCCCTTGGAGGTCCATAAACAATTACCAGCATGTTATTATAGATGAACAAAAAAGACATTAATAAACTTTCCCAAGGTCATGCAACCAGAAAGTGGTAGAGCACAATTCAGTCCCAACCAAGCCTGTTTGGATACAGACTTTCACTCTTACCTATGACAGTAAACCAGAGGAGGCGGCAGAGCTGGGCATAACCCCAAACTGCAAATGAATCTCAAAGAGCACCTTTATTTTGGAAAACATTAACCGGATTTTAAAAAAAAAAAAAAATCTACATCTGTAGCCGTGATATCAAACGGAGCTGGCATTCCCTAAGCACTCTCAGCAACTAGGGATTTGTTACAGGAAAAGGTGACGCTAGTCTAAATGACAAATAGCCCTAGCGTTTGGGCTGGGGGGGGGGGGGGGAGGCGAGTTCACACCTCTAAAAGGGGGTAAAAAGGAAAATTGTTCCTATGGAGTAATATGTTTTGCTGTCCGAGTTATCGATTTCCATCAAAGTCTTTACAAACGAAGTAAAAGTCCACGTAACAGAGATCCGTGCAGCACTTTCCCAGCTAAGAAACTATTAACTTTGGTAGCAGGTGCCCCTGAGGAACACTGGCTCAGCAAATGGGTAGCAAACTCAGGCCATAAATGGTATTACAAGGCTGTCCCTTAGATGTCATTCCACAGAGATGAGCTGTTTTCACTGTCCTAGAGCAGAGGTGCTTAGGATGGTGCTGCGCTTTGAATTAAAAAGTCTCCCAAAGAAAATGCACTGCCTGAAGCTCAGCTTTAAGAACCGCTGGCAGGGGGCAGAGGCTGGGTGCACTGGGGGGTTGAAGTTCTAGGAGACCAGACGGTCTCCAGCCGACAAGCTCCTTTAAGGGACCCGCCTGGCCAGGGAGGCGAGGAAGGTGAGGGCAGCGCGATGGCCGGGACGGCGGGAGACCCCGGGCCCCGGCCCCTCGCAGCCGCGGGATCCCTCTCCTGGCACACACTGCAGCCTGGATGGTGCAGTGGCCACTCCTCCAGCCCGCAGCCCTTGGCTCCCTTCCCCCGAGAAGGAACTCACAGTTCCGGGGGCCACACACGAGGCGCCCAGCACCCCAACAGGCCCAGCTGTCCCGGAGCAAGGAACCCCCAGCTCCTCCTGACCCCACCAACCCAGGGTCCTAAACTCCCCAGCCCGGAAGACACAAACAGGAAGTCACCCTAGCCCCCCTGCAGGCTGTGCCGCAGTCTCTCTAGGAAGCAGGGATGGTCAGGTCTCGATGGTCTTAACCCTTACGGTCCCAGACCAAAAGGGACGTGCTGGTGGATTTCCTTCCCTCGAGCTGTTTGTGGTCGGCCCGCTTGATTCTCGCTCCTCACACTTGCCAGGCGCCTTATAATAGGGACCCTATCGGAGCGAATACTTTCCCTCGTCACCAGGGCATTGATCGGCTTTATCATCATCAGTACAAGAGAAATGAATCTAGCATTTACTAAGCTCCTGTTGTTTCCGTTGCCACCGCTGTGAACAGGGATGTCTACTTAGCTACCTGCGAAACAGCTGAACAGCTGAGGCATCCACCCACGCACAAAACACTTAGTTAACAAGGCGCCCTTACTAATAACACCCGGAGAAGCCCTTAAACTCTGGTCTTTCATCACAGAGAAATGGAAGGCAATCCCTTGTCTCCCCCATAGCAAGCCTACAAATCTACTTACGTCTGCTCCCTAACCACTCTCCTCCCTCCTGTTACAACGGAGGATTGGTCTACATTTAAAAGGAGCCCTTTACTGGTACTCACTTTCCTTCCCACCTTCTTGGAATCCTTACACTAACAACTAACCTCTCAATTCTACCACTTCCATCCCAAAATAGTTATTAGGCTTTTTACCCCCCCCCCTCTCACAATGTTTCCACTTAATGGCTTCTCACTGACCTTTTAACTAATTTCTCCCCCAGGAAAAGCAATAAATCACTAACATCACCACTGACCTACCTCTGTGCTAGTATTTTTCAGTTCCCAAGTCTTCTTTCAGGAGTTTTGAGCCTGCTGAGAATTCCTCTCTTCTAGAAACATTTCCATTGTAACAGAGCCTTGTTAATCTTTAGTTACCTTTGCCCTAGATTCTATTACCATCTTTAAAATAAATGAGGACTTTCAGAAAACAACATGAACATAAGACATCAGTGTAATTTTCTTTTAGATTGATTTTATTTATTTGAGAGAGAGAGTGAGCCTGCACAAAGGGTAGAGGGACAGAAGGAGAGGAGAGAAGCCGACTCCCTGCTGAGTATGGACACCAACTTGGGGCTCATTCCCAGGAGCCTGAGATCATGACCTCAGCTAAAATCAAGAGTCCACCAGTCAACCAACTGAGCTATCCAGGCACCCCAAGATATTGGAGTATCTTATATAAACTGATAATAGAAACACTCTTTTAAAGTGACACCACATTATCCTCCAACATCTTTAGCACTCCGGATAGTCTCTTTTGCAAGCCCGGTCTTCTCTAAATGTTGAGGTTCCTTAACGCCATCCCAGGACCTCTCTCTTATCCTGAAATGTCCTCTGTCTGGGCAACCTCATTCACTTCCACATTTAAAAATACCTCCTGTGGGGCGCCTGGGTGGCTCAGTGGGTTAAATCCTCTGCCTTGGGCTTGGGTCATGATCTCAGGGTCCTGGGATCAAGCCCCTTGGCCTCTCTGCTCAGCAGGGAGCCTGCTTCTCTTCCTGCCTCTCTGCCTGCTTGTGATCTGTCTGCCAAATAAATAAATAAAATCTTTTTTAAAAATTAATAAATAAAAAATAAAAATACTTCCTGTGCAGACGATTCACAAATTTTATATCTCCAGCCAGGCTACACTTCCGAGCTCTTCACTCTTATCACCAATGGTCTACTTGACATCTCATCCTAGGGATCTCAGAAACACCTCAAAAACAAAATGTCAAAAGTGAGAATCTTCTCTCTGACTTTCTTCTCCCATATATGTGTACGAACACAAGATAAACCAGTTCTTCTTCCAATTTTCTCTCCCAACCAACCATCCAGATCTGCAGAAGCCCAGAAGTCCTCTTTGGTACCTCCTTTTCCCCTCCCTTCCTGTATACAATCCATAAGCCTCAACTGTTGTGTACTTCACACAGAATTCTCAAACCCAGATACTTCTCCCAACCACCTGGGCCACCCTAAATCCAGACAACTATCACCTTCATCTGAAGGATTTCAGTAGCACACTAACAATCCTACAAATGCCCATTGCCCCTTCTCATCCAATCTCCTCAATGAGTCCAGAGTGATCCTTTCCGAAGATAAATTTGAAACAGACACCTTTCCTCACCTAGTCAAAACCTATTATTAATCCTTTACACTTCAGGTCATACATCACTTCCTCACAAAAGCTTTTTATACCCTTCCTGACAGGGTCAAATCCCTGTTACGTGCCCTTCTAGCACCACGTTTCTCTCCAAGGCCTATCTTCTGACTGCAACATAATTTTCATTTGCGTGATTGTTATTTTATTTTGCCTCTCCAAACATATGTCAAGCTCCATGAACGCAGAGTTCATCCCTGTGTTTGCTCACCATTCTATCTTAGAACCTAGCACAGTGTCTGATTCTAACAAACATTTGTCGAGAGCCTCCTATGCTCCTGTTACTGTATATTGTTAGGCCCTGAGGATATAACAAAATAATGTGGGGAAGACCGTCAACAAGCAACACAACCACGTCTATTTATCTATAAACCTATGTCTATTTCTCTCTCTCTCTCATGCTGAGGGAGGTCTACTATTTTGGTTAAGGTGGTCATGATTGTTCTCTCAGATGAGGTATTTCAGCAGAAATCTGAAAGAAGAGAAAGTAAGAACCATACAGTTATCTATCTAAACAATTAGAACAGAGGAACAGTAAGAGAAGAGACCTTGAGATGGGAATGTGTTTGACCTGCTCAAAAAACAGTAAGGGGCAACTTAAGTGAGATGAACAATGGGAGGAAATAAGGCAGAGAAGTCAGGCCCCATAGTCCATGACTGATGGACGCAGAAATGCGTCACTCAGATTCCCTTTTAAGAAAAGACTCGTTGGGGCGCCTGGATGGTTGAGTCAGTTAAGCGTCTGACTCTTGATTTCAGCTCAGATCATGATCTCAGGGTCCTGAGATTGAGCCCTGTGCTGAGCTCCATGCTGGGCTGAGCCTGCTTAACATTTTCTCTTTCCCTCTCCCTCTGCCCTTTCTCTCCACTCCCTCAAATAAATAAATAAATAGATAAATAAATAAATAAATAAATAAATAGACAAGGCTTGCTGCCCAACGTCTGGGAGTGCTATGAGCAGAGAGCTCTCAGCCCCTCAAGAATTGTCTCGGTGGCAGAGAACAGCCTCTCCCAAAGTCAGTCTTCCTGGGCAGCTCAAAACAATGACTGATTGAGGCAGAGGTATAAAAGCCTGGACCTTCGCACCCGAAGCAGACAACTCCCATGAACAATTTCAGCTCCTAAGTTCATGGTGGGGTGGGCAGGAGAAGCTGTGGTCCGCGCCCCCAGATCGTAGGCGAACCTCTCCTTCTGCTCAGGCCTGAATTCTTGCCCTCCCTTCTACATCTGAGACTGGCTTCAGGAATGAATAAATGAGTGAATTTGCTTATCAGATTGTCTTATATTGTAGGAGGCTGTGAAGATATCTGACCCCCAAGGTAGCAGGTGAGCTGAGCACAGAATCCGGTGTCATTCTTCCATTCTAAGCACATAGGACACAGTAGGAGCCGATGGCTAGTGAATGCTTTCATAAACTCCTCAGATGCAAGGTCAGGAAGGCAAGGGAGGTTTATCCTTGGGTGAAGCTGGGAAAATTCATCAAGTCCTTTTATTCCTCCTTCCATGTCCCTTGTTTCTTTTGTTCTTTCATGCGTTTATTCAACCAACATTGAGTGTCACCTGCTGTTGACTTCCCGAGAGGGCCCCCCTGCGCTGGGGTAGGGATCGCTCGCCCTCGCCCCTGGCTGGCTGACTCAAGGCACTGGCAGAGGGGGCTTATGCCCTTCCCCAGCCACCGCTGTTTTGGGGCAGCCGTGTCACTGAGAACAACGGTTGCAACTGTCTTACATGGGTTCTCTTGGCTGCAGGGGGCGGGGGGGTGTTTAGCCTCACATTGCAAATTACCTTACTTACAGTTGTTTAAACCATAAGGACTATATTATTCACCTAAGAAATGTCTAAAGTAGGCACTGGGATAGATTGGGCCACCCAAAAATTCTCCTGGGTCTAAGAGAGGGAGGGGCTTGGTACTTGGCTGTAAACTGAATTAAGTCTCTTCAAAATTCTTACGTTGAAGCCCTAACCCTTAGTGTGATGGCCTTTGGCCACAGGGCCTTCAGGTGGCAAGTACGTTTAGTTTAGAGGTGGTCAGGAGAGTGGGGCCTCATAATGCGATTATTAGAACTCTGATAAGAGTAGATAACAAAGGTCTTTCTCTCTCTCCCCCATGTGAGGACACAGTCGGAAGGCAGCCATCTACAAGCCAGGGACAGAGCTCTCACCAGAAGCCCACCATGCCGGTGCCCTGATCTGACTTCCAGGCTCCAGAACGACGAGAAAGAAAATACCTGTTGTTTAAGCCACCCCAGCCTGTGCCATTTTGTTATGGTTCTCTGTTACTTGAGCGGGCCGACGCAGTACTGAGCTGATGATGTGATCATAATGGCTTGCATGAAATCGTCAGTTGTCATGTTTTATTCTTTGCAGGGATATTTGCATTTCAAAAGAGAAGGTGGTTAGAATGATGGTGTCCCTGTCCCTTGTTGGCAGGGGGACAAAACCATGGACATACAGAGATTTGCTACTGCAGCAATCCTTAATCCACGAACCTTTGCGCCTGATTCTACGCCTCCGGGGTGCAGTCAAACAGAGCAGAGACTTGGCTGAGCAACAAAGTATGGACTGGCACAGAGCACCAAAGGCATCAGAAGTCCAAGAGCCATCCATCCCCAACGCAGAGGATTGCTTGGGTTGAAACTGATACTGAGGACATCCTACCATCTTTCTTGAAGGTGGGTGGGTGGCTGGCTCAGAGGTTGGCAGGGGCAAGAAACGTCCAGGTTGATCAGATTCTGTGCTACAGCAAGGCAAGGGATCAACAGAAACAAGCCTACATTGTGCCTCTCTCATAAGCACATGGGAGAGCTCTT